TGTCTCAATTTCCATCATTGTAAAATTGAGTTTAGTTTGGTAGAATATTAATCAGTAAGCAGTGTAGATACAAATACATGGAAAACATGTAGAACAGTGTATACTACTTGATGTTGGTGTTGTGTGCTGCTCAGTTGATTCTGTAGCTATTCTGATTCTTCATGTAGAACTTTTCTTATTTTGAAAGGAATATTGTGGGGACATATCTTTTAATCAAGAAGGGCATTTGAAATGAATCTCCCCAGTTATATCGTACCATAATGTCATCAGTCTTCAAATCTTCGTCTTGGACATCTTACCTTTCTTATCCAAAACTGTTAGACTTGCCTGAATCTCACTCTATGTTCCTCCATGTTGATTCTAGAAAATTGGAAATATGGATAAGAAAAAAAAGGAAGAATAATCCCATAATATACCACTATTCATATGATGTCTATCATATCATTGGTCAGTCTGTTTTCTATGCATAAAAATTAAACCACACTGCTTTAGGAAGACCTCGTGTTCATTAAATATTGACTTTAAGTGGTCCTTATCTCCTTCCCAAGGAGCCCTGGTGGTGTGTTATGTGACGAGCTGTGTGGCTAACCACAAGTTCAGCGTTTCAAGTTCTGCAGCTGTTCCACCAGAAAAAGATGTGACTTTCTACTCTCGTGAACAGTTACAGTCTTGGAAACCCACAGGGGCAATTCTGTCCTTTTCTGTAGCATTGCTGTGTGTCAGAGTTCACTCAATGACAATGAGGATTGTTTGTTTTGTTTTGAGTTTATCTGCCACCCTAATGGAACAGTGGGGAACTTATTAGGCTGCGAATCTCAAGGTTAGCAGTTCACAATGACTTACTGCTCCTTGGGAGGCCTTCCATTCCTGTAAATATTTACAGTCTCAGAAACCCCCAGGAGGGCAGACCTATTCTGTTGTATAGGGGTGCCATGAGTCAGAATTGACTCGGTGGCATGAGATTTTTAAAAAATCTATTGTTCAGGGATGTTTCTTGCTTTTGTCTCCTTCTAATTCCTCCGGGCACCAATCTGCTCTACAAGATGCCAGGACATTACAGTGCCCTTTACTTAAGTTCATGAGTATCCTGGAGAATTTGAAGGATGGGTGTTTACTCAGGAAAGATACAAAAGGACTAAGCAAAGTCAGGGAGACTAACAAAGCCTTACAACATGGTTGGACTGCCTTATAGAGCCCAGCAGAGGTGTCCAAGTCAGATACAGTGATGCATTTACCAAAGAACCATTACTGAAATCATGCATGCAACACACAGCACCGTGAAGTGCTGGCGAGGCTGCTAGGAGGCTGCTTGTTTTCCATGCCACTCTCGAGATTCCAAGGGACTTTTCCTTCTTTTTTAATGTAGAACTTCTTTTTACCTTTCCAATCTCCTTCTCGGAACCTTAGTTCCATTTCTAGGTACTTGAAAATAGATATTCTATGTTAATAAGTCTAGAATTGTATACTAATGATTCTGTAAGCAGTGCAAAGCCATTGGGAATTTTTAAGCAGCACCCTCTATTTTTAAAGCAGAAAAGAAGACTAGAAGCAAGAGGGAGAACACTTTTGAAGAGCAAGTGAGAAATGATTAAGGTCAAAACAAGGCGGTAGCAAAACAGATAAAGAGGAGGGACAGCTGGGAGTTTGGTGGGCGAGTTAGTTGGGACCCCCATCACGGCACCACTCTGCTTCGGACACTCGTCCACAACCCAAATGCCATTAGTATTGCCTGTCTTTACACACCTGCAGCTCTTTCCCCAACCCTGTCTGAATATATGTGAGGACTTCAAAATGCCCATGGAAAAATGAAATGAACAGATATGGACTTGCCCACAATTTTGAGACGTTTCTTTGTATATCTCTTGATTACTCTCTAAAACCTGGCAATACTGTCACTATCTCATTAAGTAGCACTGAGAAATATGACTTAAATTCTATCACGATGTGTCATTAAGAGAGTAAGGCAACTTAATTTGGGTTTTCTAAAATTTAATGTATACTATCCTACATTAGGTTGTTAAACTTTGAACCTAGAGATGTTGGGCATATAGCTGCCTGGTCTCGGATGTTTAAGCATGTCTCTTGTCTGAGTTCATTGTGCCCATCCATTTTACTGCAGGGTATCTGTCACCGTCACTGGCTCTCCCCTTCCCCACATGATATTCTCATCCTTCTTGTGATCAATCTTGTATTGGGTACTAAGCTATCACTTGTTTTCAAGTTATTGCCAAATATAGTATCTTCTGTGTTGTCTGGGAAACATATAAGTCCTCTTTAAATTATAAATATTAGCCACTCAAATTCTTCTACACACCTATTTCCTACACAGAGTAAAAAAAAAAAAAAGAGAAGGACTGAAATGGAGATAATGGAGCTTTCCACCAGATTAAACTCTATGGAACTATTATTTCAGTTCCAAAAATAAAGCTTCCCATATAGGGTATAAACCTTATTTTCGCCCCATCATTTGTGCTTATCTATGGGAATCAAAGGTGCTATTAACTCAAATCTTGGCAGAGCCTCAATGTTGTGGCACTTGCCAGCTCCACATGGTAATTACTGCTGCTATATACAGAAAGAGTTAAATTTGACAGAACATTTCTGCCCTCCAACCTCACTTCTTCAAAACCACCTGCTATTTTTTAAGTACCTTTGAAGATTCTCTGCATTTGAGGCCCTGCAGCCTCGTGCCTTAAACTTAAGAAGGTTTATTGTTCTGCAGCTGAATTACTCTTCATGAACAACTGGGTGCCCTGGCAAGAGCAAGAAAGCCAGATCCTAAGGAGTCGTCCTGAAATATTAGTTGCACAAGGGTCAAGATGTTGTCAGAGCCTCGGGGGAGAGACTTGGGAAAGTTCAGAAAAAAAGTGAGGTCGGATAAAGAGTTTTGGAAGATAGAGATTCAGGTGGGCAGTCTGACTAATAGCTGTTGTCCTTTATCCCACTCCTTCCAAAGGAGGAACATATGTTTTGTTGACTTTGGAAAGGTGCCTAATGGTATGGCTGTTGAACATCTGATGGAACAATTGAAAGAAGAAGGGAGAGAAGCAGAGGAGGAGAAAATCACGTTTAATATGCCTCTTTCCCTGGTTTGCTAGGAAACCTGTGTGTGTGTGTGTGTGTGTGTGTATGATTGTTGTTCTATAGGTAATGGAGAGGTAGACATCAGCTTAGTTCGTACCAGATCCTTACAAGGCTTGCGTTTAGAGGAGCCAATGTTAATAATGTTTTATTGAATGTATAAAATATCTAAGATCACATCCCGGTGTAAGTTACCAGATCGAGGTGTCTTTCCACTCTTCCAGGATATGATGCAAAATGACATCTGTGCAGCCAGACTGATTAGAGAGTATTTCCACCACAGCTATTTCCTTGGCTTTCACCTCATTTTATGCTTTTCCCCCCTTGCCAAAATACTGTGGTGCTTCGGCACACAGGCTCAGTCAAGACAATAATGATGCTGGTCTAAGTGCACAGATAAAAGGATTTTCTGGAAAATTAATAGCTTGTGTTCTGATTGGGGTGCAGTTTTTGCAAGGTGATTGACAAAAAGATGTTTTAAAATGTTAGCGTCATACCATGACCACTAGTATTGTATTGCGTCACTCTGGGATCTGATGGATAGCTTGGCCTGATTGACCCCTGCTCGTAGCTACAGCATTAACAGAAAAGGCTACCAACTTGACAGGGTGGCTGTAGATAAACTGAAATAGAAACCAAGCTGCCAGCTCATTTATAAGGCTTCTCCTTTAGTCCCAGATAAGAGAACTGATGTGTTGTCTCAATACTGGGGGCGTTCATTTGTTTTCCACTAATTTGAATGTAGAAGGACTTGAGACTCAGGAGAACTGTGGTTAGAGACAAGGTGCCCTTGAGTCTGGCAAGTGGGGTACTAAAGTAGGATTTCCATGCCTTAGAGATCACAGACCTAGATATTGAGGCACATGAATGAAAGGAAGTGTGTGGTCTGGGTCAAAGGAAAAAGAACAAAGTCACACATGACTTTGAAACTATCAGAAGGTTCTGGAGAAACAGGTGACATCATTTATGTACATGGTCTACAGCATAGTGAAAATCATAACATATACCTATGTTGGGTGCATGTAATTGTGCATTGCTCAAATAATGGTGCATTCTGTAGCTCAGTGTGAATGTATCTTCACACTGCCAAATCCTTGTTAAAGTGGATGTACCAATTTGCAACCTTCCAGCTAAGTATAAAAATTGAAATGGCTATGCATCCTCCCCCAACTTGGTGTTTATAATCCTTTTAAGATGACTCCTTTTCATAGACACTCAATGATCACCCCCCCAACCCCAATCATTGATTCTTAAATTTACTACATAAGTGTTTAACAAATTCATAAAAATCAGATATTATTTTTTAGGACCAGTGTCTGCTGTGAAAGAGCCCTAGTGTAGTAGTGGTTACGTGTGGGGCTATAATCTCCAAGGTCCGCAGTTTGAAACCACTAGCCACTCCTAAGGAGAAAGACTGAGCTTTCTACTCCCATGAACATTTATAGTCTCACAGGGGCAGTTCTACCCTGTCCCATAGGGTCGCTATGAGTTGGCATTGACTCAATGGCAGTGAGTTTGTTTTGGGGGGAGTTTGGTGGGCTGTGATGAGGCAGGGCAATGATTCATCAGGTAGACGGCTTCCCCATGAGCAACATCAAACATATGATTTGAATGACATAAGCAAAAATTTGTCAGCACAGTATTATTACTTAAAAATACTGCCTTCCTTTCATAGACAACATTACCTTTGGAATGGAGGAGATAGGTATCTAGGCTAGACTTTTTATAGAATCTAAAAATTGACATTTAAAAAAAAGATTTTTAGGAGCAATTCTCGGATGGCAGAAAACTATAGTGACTGTATTCATTGTACCAGAAATGATGGTGGTTATCCTATGAGAGGATGGAGACGAAGGGGGGGGGGGGGGGGAGGCCGGGTTACAGGCAGTGGTTGACTTGTATTTTCATTACTCTTACAGGGTTTCCATTTTGGTGCCTATTGGATATTGTTCCTATAAAGAACGAGAAAGGAGATGTGGTACTTTTTCTGGCCTCATTCAAAGACATAACAGACACAAAAGTGAAGATTACTCCCGAAGACAAAAAAGAAGGTTTGTACTGTTTTCAGAAAACATTGACAGATGGAGTAACATTTTGAAATTGTTGACTCCAAAATTCTAGGAGGAAAAAAAATTGTCTTTTTCATAACCGGAACTGATAAATATTCATAACTTTTAGCAGTCAGCGTTTGGTGATGAGCTGAGCCTGTTCCAAAATCACAGAGACACAAATGAAATTGCACTATTGTCTTTGTAATAAGGACTCATTTGACGTGAACCAGAAGTTCGCATGCCTATGCAAATAGGATGAGGATGAGAAAACAATCGATCAGACTGTTACGGACTTATACTACCTAGGGAAAAACTGATGTTAACAAGTAAGGCCAAAACGATGTGGTTAAAGTCTGTATATACTCCAGTACAAGCCCACCCAAATATCAGCCAAGGCACCTAATTGCACCACAAAAACTGCATTAAAAATGCATGGGAGAAAAAAACTCAGCTTATATTTGAGTATATGCGGTAGGTCTCTCATGGTTTCATGTGAAGTATGGAAACGCAAAACATAGTAATAGAAAACTTCATTTTATTCACAAAATTATGAACTCTAGTTTAAGGGAATGAGGAGCCCTGGTGAGTGGGAGCGCTCAGCTGCTCGGTAAAAGATTGGCAGGTTGAATGACCCATCTGCTTCTAGCAAGATGTACAGCCATGGAAACCATAGGAACCATTAGACTCCGTCCTAACTAGGTTGCTATGAATCAGAAGTGACTGGATAGCCATCGTTTCAGTATTATTAGAATGGAATATTGTAAATAAATGTATGTTTATGCCTCTTATTATAAAACAGTACCTAGTGAAAGATACAGTCAAATAATTAGAAAAAGTATTTTCAAAGGATTCTTTCTGAGGCTTTATGTTGCTTACATGATAGAAAATGTTTATAGCTCCTTAAGAAGCCACTGACATTTTTGATTAAGGTTGAGAAATTAACACTGAAGCAAGTTCTAATCTTGTGTTTTAAAAATAGAGATGGGTTTAGATATTCTGGTGATCAGATAAAAATCAGTTATCATTATCGGGATTTCCTGTGTCGTAAGCTCACTATATGGAGTCCTGGTGTAGATTAAGTATTGGGCTGCTAATCGAAAGGGCAGGGATTGAAATCCAGCAGCCACTCTGCAGGAGAAGGAGGAGGCTGGCTGCTTTGTAAAGATTTACAGCCTTAGAAGCCATAAGGGCAGTTATAGTCTGTCCTATAGAGTTATTATGAGTTGGAATCTACTGCATGGCTGTGGCATGTTTTGTTTTATTTTGTTTTAGTTCCTTATTGGAGTCCCTCTTTGGTGCAAATAAATAACACGTTCAGCTGCCAAGGTAAGAGACTTGAATATACGCAGAGACATCTGACTAACAGTGGAAGACATTAATTTGTTGCACCAACTAGGACCTCCAAGATATTTATTGTAACACTCTTTGACGTCTCAACAAATCGCCTTTTGGGGGAATAGGTTATTTTATTCCAGCTTAAAAATAAAATATCTCCTGAAAGGACAACACAATTGAAGTACTATCATGGTTTTATGCCCAGCCTCATGGCATTTATTAAAATGCTTGCAAATGCATGACTGTTTCCTATGCATTTGCATGACTAGTGTGGCATATTTTACATATTCAAGGAAGAACAATCTCACAATAATAAGTACTTGGATATTAGAGAAAGTGCTATACCTGTCCAATGACAGAAATTTTGAAAATCAGGATGGGTCGCTTTTGTTACATTTTTACCCTTCCCTTTGATATTATAGAAATAAAGAAGGCAAGCATTATTTGAACATGATCCAATATATGCATATTATATACAAGCACATATACACATGGACATAGAGGGTTCAAAATCTTGATAGAAAACTGGAATTAAATTAGGATTTCCCCCCAAGCTTTTGAAGCTTCTTCATCTACATAGATAAAGTCTAAAACTATCCTTAGAAAGAAATATGTGGATTTTATTCCTTCAAATGGCACGCTTTTTTTAATTAAAAAAATAAACAAATGGCACAGTTTAATAAATCGGACTTCCTTTGCAGTTGAGGATCAGGCTTCCCAGTTGTATGCCAACAATTGAACCACCTGGTGTCTTAGGGGTTCCTGTGCGTCTTTGGGAGAGAAAACTCCAGAATGGAGGATGGCAGGATAAAAAGAGTGAAGTATATGCCAGGGGGCTTCAAAAAATTGGTGAAAATTGGAGCTCTTTCTGTGTGCTCTTCCCAATTCAATCAGATTAAACCCTCCTCTTTCCCTAGTGTGGGGATGAAGAATAATCTTGGTACCTCATTGGTTATTTGTCACCACTTCTCCAGCAGCTCCCTGGGAGAATGACCTGGTGATTGGATCTCCTAAGATTACAAACAAGGAAACTTTATAGTACAGCTCTAATCTGTTACAGAGGGTCCCTACAAGTAGAAAATCAGTGTAATGGCATCTGATTGCCACCATGAAGCCAAGAACAATTGCCTCCACCTGGAGGTCTATCTCAAAAGCAGTTTTAGCTTGATAGGTTTCAATTAGGTTTAAAAACAGTCTCCTATTTGTGCCAAGATGCAAGAAGCTCAGATAGCTCAGTGGTGTAAATGTTACGCTGCTAACCAAAAACTCAGTGGTTCAAACCCAACAGCCAGAGAACTATGAGGCTGTCTGCTCCCTTAAAGATATAGTCTTGGAAACTCGAGGGAGCAATTCTCTTCTGTCCTATAGGGTCACTATTGGTTGGAGACAAATCAACGACAGGGATCTTAATGGGCAAGTTAGCAGGGTTTTAGGAAAAAAATCCAACAATACAGAGTTTCACTAATTATATATGTTATATAAAATATGATTTTAAAATGCTGACATAGTAGCAAGTTACTTTCTTTTCAGAATGTAATGATCTTGTTTATCAAATAAATATTGTTTCATATGAAATAAAATGTAATTTCTAGTATATACCAAACCTTCAAAAACATATTTATTTTCAGTTACTAGCTTAGTTTAAAGGTTCCTCCAGTGTATGTAGTACTTTTAGAGAGGTAGCGTACTATGTTACCATGGTTATAAATTTACAGTGAAAAATAGTTAAATGTATATTTGTTGCTTTTTGACCCACACTTAAAACACCTTGTATTCACCAATTGGAGTCCTATTTTGCAGGAAAGGCAAAACTTCGACATTTGTTATTCTTTCAAATTTGAATATGTGTTTGAAAATCATGACAATGACACTAAGGACTGGAGCCGGACTGTAGTATAGTCCTTGGAAACGCTCTCACTAGGCACGTAGCTTCACTTGGACTCAGTGCCGCGGTCATGCGTGCTGGAAGTGTCACTCGTGCCCATCCGTGCTGTGGATTTAAGGTTTGTGTTGATGACTTACTAAAACGCAGTTAGTGGACCCTTATTTAAAAGTGGTTAATGGTGTGGATTTCACTTTAAAAATAAAAAGCAGTGATTAACCTTGGCCTTGCCTTGGTTTTTACTTGAAAACAGAGAAGCTAGCCTGATCTTCTACAGAAAAGGCCAAGGAAAGATGCATTGTAAGATGGTTCTACTAGCAGCACTAATGGAAGATTCACATGCATGCAAACTACTTTTTGCAAATTTCATAACTTGTATGTGGTTACATGTGAGTGTGAAGGAGGAAAAGAGAAAGAAGTTTTGGCAGAAACCTGGTGATTTTTTTTAGCCAACATTTAAAATAACTTCTTGGGGGGCGGACATATCTTTTACTTTCATTCCCAAAACATTGTGTACCTACCTCTCTGACTTCTGTGTTCACAGTGGGCATCACTGTGTGAGTTTAATGAGACCCTGTTCACCTCCGTAAGAAATATTTTAATTCTAAAGAACTGATAATAATGGATTAATTTACTCAACAGATCTTGATTGAACACTCACTTGACACTCTGTTTTGGGCTAGAGATCTCAAAAATGGAGTCAATAGGCTTTAAATCTTCTAAACCTTTCAAACCCTGGCTTTCTTGCTTACTGTTGAGCTTCAGACATGCAATTCAACCTCTCAGAGACTTAGTTTCTTCATTGGTAAAATGGGGTAATCATAGATAGCACCTACATTTGTTTATAGAGAGGGTGACCAGTACACGTGGTTGTGATCATGATGGTTATGGTCTATCGATTTTATAATAATAGCTACCGGTGATTAAGTTTCTGTTTCGTGTTAAGTGCGTCCCATAGGCGATCTCATTTACTTCTTTTTACAGTACACTTATAATGGTGGAATTCGGTTTTATACTCAGGCAATCAAACTCCACACCCTATGGTCTATTTCTTACCACCACCACCACTCCCCCCACCCCCCCACCCATGCCCCATCCCCCATATACAAAGCTTATGATCTTATGGAGGAAATCGATTCGTAAACCAGTGTTTTCAGTCTATTGTAGTTGGTCCTGTTGGTTAAATGTTGGGCTGATATCCACAAGTATGGTGGTCCCAACCCTCCAGCTGCTCTGCAGGCGAAGCATGAGGCTGTCTGCTCCAAGAATATTTACAGCCTCAGAAGCTGTATCTCAGTTGCTATGAGTAGGACACTGGTGAAAATTATAAAATCTTCCCAGTGATGGGAACAAACTAGAGTAGTATCAGGGAGAATTGGAGTAGAGTCAAGGAGAGATTCACTGGAAAGATGATACTGAAAGAATCTTCAAAGGGAAATTGCTTGATAGATTGAAAAGAATTGATATTAATGTCGGGTGGTATAATAGCAAGTACTTACTTGACTTGTTTTGAAGTAGAGTACAAGAGTCAGAAAGTTGAAGTTCGCCGTTAAACAGGCAGGAAAGGTATGAAAATGAGAGATTATATTTTGTTATTCTGAAGAGTTAGTATGGAGATACATTTTTCCTGATCTGGAGATATATTTCATTGGCCCAACAGACAGGCCTTGAACATGAGGATAGAAGGAAAAGGAGTAAAGGATGAAGCCCAGGTTTTGTTTGGGGCGATGTTATTAATGTGCCATTAATCAAGACAAGGGATACAAAGGAGCAACCAATCCCA